TGAAGGACTTTGTGGCAATTTAATTTTTTTCTTTTTCTGTCATTATATATTTACTTGTAATTTATGACTTGATTATAAGCTCCTGGTCACTGAAGAAAATACATCTAACTTGACTTGGTTTTACTCTACATTTTGATGACTCTGCAAATGAGCCCCAGTTCATTTCCAAAAGTCTACTGCATTTCTCTGTTCAATTATTTTTCATTCTTCACAAACACTTAGTTTTTTGGGAGATATTAACTCATGAAAGTATTAAGATGTTTTGGCTTTATTTTTCCCTTTTGCTGATATCATCCATGTTGTGCTGAATTATCTTTTCCATTTTGGGGTAAATACATGTTTTAGGTCACTTTTGTTGATGAAATGAAGTCCAGTTGAGGTTAAGCTTTACTCTTATAACTGATTGAGTAATCTTACAACTGATTCTTCTCCCCCAATGTGGGTTCAACTGGTGTAGGAGTTCTGCTTTTGACACATCTGCTTCCCTCTCTTTTGAGTGCCCATTTAACTCACTAGATGAAGTTAGTCTATTGTTATTCATAGTTGCTGCTTTTCTAGGTAATATGAATGGCTCTTGTCCTCTATCTACTGGCTGTAGCAGACATCCAAAAGTTGATTTTTCTATAAATTTTAGACATGTATCTAGTCTGGTTGCAATAGTCTAAGGTTAAATGTCCCCATATTCCTTCCAATTTTTTATTTGTCACTCTAAAAGTCACAGCTTGGACAGTAAATTACATGATCTTGCTCCTTGGGGATACATTTGTGGGGGTGGACGTTCTAGGGTGGAATTACTTCCACACTGCTTTGGCTTACCCACTTCTAACAGCCCCTTCCCCTAACTTTAGCTCATACCACCAGATGTGCACCCAGGAGTCTTGCCTAGCATGCCCATTGCCTGGGAGATAAATGTCTCAAACCCAGCATCTTCTGCAGCATTTAATCAATCACAGGCATCCTCTTCCCTTGAACATTTGGCATCCAGACTGCTCTGCTGCCACCCGTTTCATTTCCCTACCATTCAGCGTCACACTGCTGCTGCCAGTGTCAATCCAGGGAAACAAGGCTCACATTCCCTTACTGTGTCTCACTTACTCTTTACGGAAGCCCCTTGCATACTTTCATTCGACTCCAAGGGAGAAATTTCCTTGCCCTTCTTCTCAAGAGAAAGCACTTGGAATAGGCACTCTTCTCACTGAAATTTCCAAAAATGTAATGACCACTACAATACACTCTTCCTAGTCCTCATGCTATATATGCAGTGCATTTAAGGTCTGCAAAGCAATATTAGTGTGTTAAAAAAATACATAGAATTTTGAAATCTAAGCTGATGGATACCAATTAGGAAAAGATGGTAATTTCGACTACCTGCATCCCCATACCTTTGTCTGTGAAGGGTAGGTCTGACTTAGTCTTAAGAAACAGAGAGCATTTTAAAGGAAATCTGTAGAAGTTGGACTACTTTACTAGTTACTATATTAAATAAATGTAAATGGGTGTGAAAGGTTATGTCTAAATTATCTTATATTAAAGATGCAAATGATATATCTGAATTCTTGTCTTTACTCTTTTGGGTTTTTTGGGTGTTACCTCCCTTTAATTACTAATAGAATATTCATAGAGGCTGCAGTCTGTGTCATTATACAGATATTTTCTCTGGATTCCAAGAAGATATATTTTATAAATATCTAGTATCTAGTTAGTCATCATTCCCAAAATATTCCTTACATTTTGCCTTGTTGAAAGTTTCTTCTTTTTTTTCCCTTCTACTTCTACTTCTTCTGAGGCAATTCTAACTTTATATTCAACGTATGTCTCTGACCTCCTGCCTTCAATAATCCTTTCCTGGTTTCTTTCCTCTCACCAACTTGTAAGCTCTTTCAGATGTGGGCCATGATCCCTAGAACATAAAATTGCATTTTGGGCATAATAGGCAAACAGTGAGCATTTATTGAATTGAATCAGTAGAAATATGTAACTAATTTAAAATGTATTTTATGAAGTATGGAGGTTTTCACTCCAAAATTAAGCCAAAATGGACTTTTACTCTGTGTGACGGTTGTGGTAAATGATGGAATCAAAACTTACACATGATTCTTAAAAATTATAAAATTACCTCACCAACTTATGAGATAGGGCAAGCATTATCTCCATTTTACAGGTGGATACGCTGAGGCTGGGGAAGACTAAATTAATTCCTTAGGTCACACAGCTGTGAGTGACGGAACTCAGTTTGTTGACTAGAGTCCTCTTCTGGTCTATAACATCACCACACCATAAGAAAGGGGAGTGTGAGTAATTTGTTTGTTGTCTGATCTGCTGACATGATTACATCCTAATAATTACCATAGATACTAAACAGTCTTCTAGAATCCTGTTCCAAGGCTATTAAAAAGATGTTATTTACATCCATCAGAGGGCTGGTCTAGGTCTCCAGCCATGTATCTTCCACTGTTGCTAACAGGATGGCTCACAAAAAGCCTAATTCAACCTCTGTCGTTTCAAAAGGAAGCAGCATATTAATTAGAACTATTGTAGAAATTGGGAACAAGGACAAGAAGATGGGCTAGGTGGGCTACTTGGGATCCTGAAGACAGAGAAAAAAAGACTAAATCCCTGGCAATATGGTGCTTACTCGGAGGAAACTGAGGTGTCTGGGATGCACGCACAGCTCTACCAAGGGCTGGGACCTTGGGTCTCACTGTGCAGATACCACTTCCAGGTTCCACCCACAGTGACTCCCTTAGGAGCCAGGGATGGAAGAAGACTGACTCTGTGGCTTCTATATGGTGGCAAATCTCAGGAGACCAAAATGAAAAGAGGGGTGTGTTTTGGCCTTTTGCCTGATTATAACAAGAGGTTCTGACTTCTCACTTCACAGTTATTAAAGGGCGTCTCTTGCTATTAGCTTCAGAGCAACTGGAGGCCTGAGGGAACATTACCTTTAGAAAGCTCCTGGCTGTGGATCTGAGGCCCTGGCCTCATCCCAGAGGAACCAGCCCATTGGGCATGAAGGAGTCTCTTGAAATGAGAAATTACCTTGAACACCCTTTCTAGGCCTTGTTATTTCAGATTATAAACCTGAGAGAGAAGGAAACAAACAGCTGCTGTGTCCCTGGAAAGGTATCATTTAACCCCTGATTTCCAAAGTGAGAGGACAGAAGGCTCCCTGAGTGTTAGCAGAGGGCTCAGCACTGTAAATACGCTTCTTTGATTACTTCACTATCGCTGAGAGCTATACTTAGAAGGAGTGACTGGAAAGTGAGTAATGCCATTATGTGAATATAAAATCTATTTCCTGTATGAAAGGAGGGAGAGAGAGAGATTTCATGAGCATTGTTTATGAACTGTACTCTTTTGGCCTTTATATGAGCAGCAATATTGGGAGAAAGATTTATTTTCTTTTTAAATTTTTAAAAAGATTTTTAAAACATAATCTGCTTTTTTTTTCCATTTAAGAAGCACATTAGTACTTTGGACCATGAATAGTCTCTTCTTCATCCTATCCTCTGTATCCCAAATTTCTGAATGAGTTTTCAATTCATTCACTTATCTCTTTTGAAATGACAGCAGGTGATTTGGGTCTCTTCTGAACAAACACTTCTAGCAAAAATGGTACTGGGAGGATTGGACCCCCAGATAGTGCCCTGATTCAGGTAAATAAAGATTTAAGAGCCTCTCCAACTTCTAGCCTTCAGCTCTGAGGCCTGTAATAGTCTATAAAAGACTGTGGACTATAAGCCCATTTACTGGACCTAAACATCATCCTTGTGTGATATAGTAGAAAGAAAATAGGACCTGAAGTCAGTGCCAGAGTTATCTAGGACCTCAAATACTTATTATAATGTGAGCCATAAAACACTTAGAGCCAGTTTTCTCATCTGTAAAATAGGAATCAAGATACCTACCTCTTTCTAATGAGGTGGTCCTAATAACTTGTCCTAATTCCATCTATATACAAGGGTCATTTCGAGTGAATATGATTTAGATAGTTTTCTCCAAGCCAGTTGTGGGTGGGGGATAGCATCACCCAATAACAACAAATACCTCAGTAAAGGAACTGAATACATTTCAGGTTACACGTGAATGGTAACAAGAGAATTTCCATGTAGCAATGGGTTCCTGGGCTGATATACAAGTCTTAAGTCATTTTCTCTATTAATCTCCCCCTTAGGGATATAGGGCCTACAGAATAGCCTCAGGGACAATCTCACAATTTTCATATGCAGACACCCTAATGTTTTCACAATTTCTCATGATGTAACTAAGACCAGTCTGGAACATTCAACTGAGGCTTTATTCCTTTTGGGGGAGTTACAATGTGAAATACAAGAAGAATGTCACAAAAGTAGAGAATATCTTAGGGGATATAACTTATTGCTCTTCAAGCTCACATTGCCTATCCCATTTTGGTTTCTGTCATGCACTCATGTGGTGAGTACTGTCTTAATACCATTCCGGAATTCATTTCTAATCTTAAGCCTTACTTTAGATCTCAAACCAGATTTCTGTCAATATTGCTTGAGCACCTAGATCCAGCCATATCTGAAGTACAAACTTTTTAATTACAAGAGCGAATGTCCTTGTTTTGGTTAAGCATGTTTATGTTTCACTTGTTTATAGCCAAGTTAGTTTAATTAAGCACGTGTTCATTTTTGTATCTTCTGCAGAGCCTAACACAGGCTATTATCTGTTGAATAAGTGCCTCAATTATTAATCATACCACTACTTGGGAGTTAAAATACATATTCTTTCTATGACATAAAATATATGGCTGAAATGAGTACAGAACACTTTCTCTTAGTCTATTGTTCTGTTTCCTGAGAAAACATTTCTAAAATAAGGGCCAAAAGTAGGATTAAATATATTTTGTCATTTATTAGACTTAAATTCATTACAAAATTAACTCACATATAATTAGAAATATTTTAAATCACAAATTGTAACCCTTTAAAATATTAAGTGTTAAATTATATTTTACATTTATAGAATTTCCCATGTAAGAATTATAATCAGATGTCTGGTTATGTTTGTGTAAAACAAATGTAGATAAAAATATGACAAATACATTAAGAAATATATTCACCTCATATATTTGTAGTGTATAAACCAATTTTATTTGGTTTCATGAAAAATAAAAAGTGGTGAATTTGGTATTTGCTTATATGAATCTTATGGTAAACTGAAATGTAAAATTGTGTATCTTTATAGGCAAGAAGTAAACTTATAAAAATTACCACTGGATATAATAAATCTGTACTTTCCTCTACACCTGTGATATAGATCCACTGTTGAATTATTTATCACACTTTTAAAAAATTTCTGTTTTCTTAACATGGATAAAATAAGCAGTTCTTCCCACTGATTCACATAGTTTTTTTCTTCCTATTTTCTAAAATTATAGTTTAACATTACTGCAGTTTTAAATAATCCCATTCATTAATTGTCATTTTCATAAGTGAAGCTTCCCAATCGCCCTTATTTTCTACATACTAGTGAGATTCAAGTATGATTTATTTTCAGATGATCAGAGAGCATAGAAAATACTATCAAATTTTAAAAACTGATACTGAATTCTAATTTTTATGGGACGTTATGCAAGAGAGTGTTGTACCCACAAAACACTGGAGTCTTTAGGCCACTTAACACCCAAAAGCCTCAGTATGTATCCTGGATAAGGGAATGAACCATTAAACTGTAAATGCTGAAGATACTGGTCTGTCCATATACACTATACAACAAAGGGGCAAATCAACAGGATCATGGGTAAAACCTAGGAGAAGAAAATCCATTATTAGAAAATGTCTTATGCAATATAAAATATTCATCACAATCACAGAAGCATTTAGTTTTTATTTCTCACTTTATATTAGAATATTAACTGTGGTTTACTGAAGGAGCATGGTAAAACCATTAAAGTTAGATTCACTCAGGTGAGAGAAATTTCCAATTTCTCAAACATCAACAAATAATTTTCTATACATGATTCAAATGAATATCAAATGTCTGTAGAAATGTTTGAAAGAAGATGTGGTAATTTTCTTCCATACTACCAACCATGATATAAACTAGAGCATGTTATCATAATTTACCATGTGTGCTGTAGTATCTTTAAACAAAGTGGAGCTCAAGTTTCACTTAAAAGCTATTACAATTTATGTGGCTTTGTTTATGTATCAAATGTATCGTGGCAAGCCTGGGTGTTTCATCATGGTCCATAACACAGGAAAAGGCACATCAAAATGTGAAATAAATATTTGTTGACTGACTGATTTTGTTTCACAGTTTGATCATTTAGACTTTCAAAATAATTATGTTGCTTTATTGATTCCTAGGGTATTAAAATACTATAAATTCTAATTCATAAGTTGGTTATTTTAAAAAGAGATTAATTTCACCCACTGGGGCACAGATACTAAATTTAAAAGTATAGATACACAGAATTTAAAAGGTACTCTTTTCATTTTGTCTTTGTTTTTGTTTTTTTTTCTTTTTTTTTTAGCAAATAGAGCATGTTCTCTTTTCCTAAAGTCATGAAAATATTCTCGAGAATCATATTAGTTACTATCTTGGATTCCCTTTCAAAAATTATAAAGAAAACTGGGTGGTAACAAAACCTTATAAAACAGAGTATTTGCTCACATCACCAAAATAAAGCAAAATCCAAACAGCAACAGCAACAGAAGGGATGTCTTCTTACAAAGAATCCCAAACGGCCATGCTCTCAGGCACTGATTGCACAAGGTGGATGACTGAGGGGGTAAAAGAGAAAAATAGGAAAGAGGCTCAACATGGTGGATTCTGTCATTAACTGTTATTTAGTCCCCAGAGACCTGGGTGCACATCTTTGATACGTACATTATTCTGGAAGGACAGGGTGCTTGTGGCATTGGTAAGGAAGAGAACTAGCATGAGCACTAAGAATACATTTTTTTATTTAGAAAGAGAGAAATTGTTGATGTCGATATTTGCATTAATTCTATGCATACTCATTTAAAAATTAATTTATGTCTCTATTTGTTAGATGCCACTTACTCTCACACAGACTGAATTGGCCTGCAAAATGGGCTCGTGCCAGAAAAAAGAATACTGGGATCAGACCGATGACTTCTGGTGTTGACTACAAATAGCATACATTTTTTAAAATTGCATATGAAGTTCACCCAACATACCTGCAATGCCTATCAAAACTAGAGAGAACAGTGGCCTGGGAGGGCAGTGTTAGGGTAAAGGGGACACATCCAACCTCAAGTCATGGGATATTAGTGATTATCTAGTCCAACTTCTGTGATCTGCAGCTGAGAGACCTGAATCTTCACACTTGGGAAGCAGCATTACCAAGGTCACGGCAGGTGAGTGGTTGTCTCATGAGGGTGGCCACCGTGCCTAACTTGCTCACCACTCCATAACACAATGTCTGATAGCTGGCACATGTTCTACAAATATTTTGGGTGCATCAATGATGATGAAATGAATATATGAATGACTGAGTGAGTGAGGCAGTGGCAGAGCTAGGCTAGACTATACTTTCAGCAATAAAAGTTAGTCAGAATCTGAGTTTTGTTACACAAGCACCTCAAAAATATTCTTGTCTGAGCCATGATGGCTAAAGAGACACTGCCAGGTGCCCACAGGAGCTGATTTTCCATGGGGGGCATTTCAAAGTAGTTTTCATCTTCTTTCATCTTTTAATTTATCAGTGGCATTGCTCACCAGCAGTTACAGCTGTTTGGAGAGGCTCTTTGTCAACCCCAGCATGGGGCCCCCGGGCGCACTGAGTTGCACATCACACTGCGCACATTTACATCACGCCTTCAGGAATGGTGATGGCAAAGACACTTGTTTCTACCCCACCCCCAGCTATCTGAACACTCAGCAGCAGGCACTCGGAGGAATAATAACACTCATTTTAAAGGCAGTTTTCAGAAATGAAGAGGAGCAGGAGAGAGATAAAAGTGAAAGGGTGAAGGCTGTGAACGTTAAACTGCTTGATGAAAGAAGAAAAGCTGTCAGACACATTACCATTGGAATAGCACAGGTAGGTCTCAAAGGAATATTCAGGCAATTGGAAAATACCTTTTCAAGTATAGGGCAAAGGGAGGAAGTCAACAGCAGGTATTGCTGTGTAAACAAGTCAAATCTAGGTGAAAGAAGAGTAGGCATGTTTCATTATGGATTCTTGGAAGCTATTCTCTGCAGATTGAAGTGGGTCATGGAGAGTGACATTTAAAGTGGCAGGACACAGTCTGGGCAATAGCTTCCATATTCCACACGGTCAGGTTCAAGGGCAAGAGAGGCCTTTGTAAACAGAGTGCATGGCAGTCCTGTGTGACAGATGAGAGGTCACTAAGACTGCTTAGGGACCCAGGTAAACTTCCAGCCTCCCTCCTCATCTCGACGAACAAAGGCTTGTCCCTGGTGGAAGGAATGAGTTTTCACATTACAGTGAGGGCTCAGGGAGGTGGAAAAGGCCATCTCTGTCTTATTGGGGGACACATCAGCAGTATAGTAAGGAAGAGTCTGCAGCCCTCCTGTGGGATTCACAGGTTGAGAAAAGAAGTAAGAATCTTTCCTGTGCCTGGCAGTGCTGTTAGAGAGGGTTGTTCTGTCACCCACATAGTCCATCTGCAGATCCTCCTGGGGGACATTTTCATAATCCACCGCATCGTCCGGAACCTGGGGAAATGTGCTGGCGATCCTTCTGGGATGGGAAGGCAGGGCACTGTAGTTAGCTGGGAAGGTGTCATCAATGGTGTTGAGGTCTTTCAACCCGAGCGTCTGAAGAACCCAGGGATCCACGGGGGGCCCAGGTTGTTCTTCACAAGTGGCAAATTCTCTAGAGAGGTTCCTCCTGGCATTTTTGCGATGGGGGGTCTCTGGAGGAACATACCTTTGCTCTCTCGGTTTCCTCTTCCCCTTCCTGAATTTCCCATATGCTTTGGAGAGCTCATCTGCTGACAACAATTTCTGGAGAAGTAATATTTGAAAATATACAATCAGATAATCAACCAAGATCATTTTCTTTACTCTTTCTAATTACAACTCCTTCAAATATTTACTAGTCACTGAAATTCCTGAAAAATCTCCCATGCACACTGATTAGATTAACTTATGTTTCTAAATTAAGATCCATGATGAAAATTTACCACCTAGAAGCTCCAATTCATATTTTTTACTGGTCATTTAAAAATTGAAAAGAAGAAATGATGCCTTTAAAATTTCAATTGAAGGAAGTAATTGTTGTTATAATGGCAATAATAGCAACTATCATGTATTGAACACTGGTTACATGCACAGTCTCATTTTATATAGGCAGTATTAAAATCCCCTTTAATGATTGAAACTGAAGTCCAGGCCTATCAGTGACTTGCCTGGATCATGCAGCCAAGAGTGAAACCTAAGCTATCTGAACCTAGACAGAACCGCTAGAAATACTAACACTGCTTCTGATTTCCTTCACTTCCAGATTGCATCCTGTGTGAGATGTATTATATTATTCTTAATCTTGAAAAATCAAGAATGAGAGAAAAAGTGCTGAATTACTATCACTTACTAACTTAATAACTCCTTTAGTTGAGGAATGGTGGAGATTTACGAGCTCAGGCTAATAAATGTGAGAAGTGTTCCCTTTATTAACAAAGCTAACTGAGCTGCAAAAGAATCAAATATGGTATCCATTCTTCTCTGAACTGATATGACTCGTAAGAGTAGATATCAAATAATGTAGCATGTCAAGAAGGTAAAGATTCATGATAGAAGCAATAATGAAAACCAAAGGCAAACAGATAACAAAAAAAAAATACAAAACCCAAAGTAAGGAAGAACAAAAAGGGACTATGGGTACACTATTTATCTGTGATTAGAAATAGTTCATTTTGTAACTGTAAGAAAAGATGTTCATTAAAAGATAATGTGATTGGTGATATTTAATTGCCAGTCAAGAGATCTAGGCTCCAGCCATATTCGTAACATTTTAGAGCTGAGGAGACTCTTAAAAGATGTTTTAGCTCATCCATTTACAGATGAAGGCAACTGAGGCCCTCAGTGAGGGAGTGATTTACCAAAAGTCAAACAGGTAAATAAAAGAACCGAGTATCTCTGAGATGTGATTCCCATTCCAGTGTTCCATCTATCTAACTGTCGTTTGATTAACCTCTATTGTTTCAGCAATTCCCTTGACTGGCTTTTGATTCTTAAGGAACTCTCGTTAAAATATATGGTAAAATCTACAATTGAGATACTTCCAGGAAACCATGTGTAAAAATTCTTGCAAACATGCTGTATGTATTCCCTTTAGAAAAATCTACCCATCCTCTAAATGCACTCCAAACCGTGTTTTTTAGTACACTTCTTAGAGTTAATCAAGGAGTTTTACCCAAATGGTCTGTTTTCTCAAATCACAGCTCTGTCCTTACAAAGGGGAGAGTTACATACCTTGGCCTTTTCCTCAAGACATTTAACCAAAGCAGAGGTCAAGTATTGTCTGAGATGATGATTCTCTTCATGTAACCTAGCAAGTTCTTCCTCCTTCTGCACCAGAGTATCTTGGAGCTGCAAAAAGCAGACAATGGTGAAAGCTGCTCTACTATGTTGACTTTGTAACCTTATAATAATGCCACTGATCCCTAACCTGCTTAAACTTTTTTATTATTTTGCTTGTTTTATGAACTCAACCTCAGGGAGCCCTCCTCCTCAGAGACCTAAATTCAATCTACACCCACCTACCACCTGATTGTTCAGTTTTGTACTGTGGATTTTTTATTCTTTGCTGAGTGTTTGAAGAGATTATATGGCCTTTAAGATTGTAACCACAGGAGAATCGGGAAGGTATGTAGGAAAATGAGCTGCATGCAACTGTTTAAATACAGAAAAAAGGGTTTAGAAAGGTTTTGTTGCATTCTTTCCCTGCACATTAAAAAAAAGAAAAAAATAAGAGGTGGGTTGGCTCCTTGCAGCCTCAGACTGATGCGTTTGTACATCCACTAGATTAAATTACTCTCTCAGGAACAACAACAAACAAAACATGGAAAATGAAGCAATCTTTGCAAAAACCGTTTATCTTTGCATCCCTTCTCCAAGTGATGAGCTGTGGCTTATGGTTTAAAACTACTATCACACTCATATTATTTGATCTTTCCAAAAACACTTTGAGGAAAGCAGTGCAAATATTCCCATTTCATAGGCAAGGAACAAGGATTCAAGAGGTCACACAACTAAAATGTATAAAGTCAGGGCTTGACTGCAGGTCTTCCTTCCTTGAGGTTTTTGGTGGTTGTTTTCATTAGTGTTTTCTTTATTTTCCTCAATGTGACATTGGTCACCTAACTTTAATCACTCTGTGGACATATATCCACTTCGATTCTCAACTGAAAGTCACCATATGAATTTAACAAAGCAAAAGAAGCAATGTGGTATTAAGGGATGACATTAAGAATGGACTGCATGGTGATGATATGGGTGAATGTAGTAACCACAATGTTGTTCATGTGAAACCTTCATAAGATTGTATATCAATGATACCTTAATAAAAAAAATGGCCTGCATGGAACATGGCCAGTCTCAATATTCTGATGATCTACACATACCTGCTTGTTTCTGTAGAGCTGAGAGGAAAGCTGAGCCTCTTCCCATGAACACGTGTTAGGAACAGGGAAACTTGAGTCACTGGATGATTCTATGTGAAAACCCCAAATGGATAACTGAGAAAACACACTTGCACTTTTCTGTGTAATAAAAAAACTTACAGTTTTTGTGTAATAAAGAGTCACTGAAGGATTTCAGAAAGCCTAATAGGCTTGATTACCTTTCTAAAAAGAGCTAATGCATCCACACAGGAAAACAAAATATTTAAAGCTTTCAAGGGGCAATAATTCTATGAAAGAAAAAAATTTATGGACTCTTTGCCAGTGTGACTACACTTGAAATTTTTAGGAGCTAAGAGGTCACATTCCTCCTCCCTAATATATACATTCCTGCTTGCTAAACTTATAAAGACTTTCCCATCTGTGTTATAGACTCATGCCAATATTTATTGATCCTCCTTTCCCCTACTATGCATAACATTGCAATTCCACTATATTTTCCAAGTTTATATCTTAGTTCCTAAGCTTTAGTGCTTGATAATATAGTGTTTGGCTCTAGAATCAAATCCTGTTTTTGATGCTACCATTTTTCCCCAGATGAAAATCTCAGCTCATCTGCCTGTCAGTTAAATGTGATGGGCAGTATTTATTCAGAATTTTATGTACTAGCACTTCCTACTTTAAAATAATTTGGACCTTGCTTCTCTGAAGAGCTTGATGAAAATCTCAAAACTGCATCCCAAACTAATATATTTCAAATGTCACCATCTGTATGTCTCTTATACTTTTTCAGAGTTTTTTTTTTTTACTAGCACTTCCTACTTTAAAATAATTTGGACCTTGCTTCTCTGAAGAGCTTGATGAAAATCTCAAAACTGCATCCCAAACTAATATATTTCAAATGTCACCATCTGTATGTCTCTTATACTTTTTCAGAGTTTTTTTTTTTATTTGACAGCAAATGACACCTTCCAATAAAAATATGCTAAATTGTTTTACTTACTTTTCCCCATTTAGTACAGGTCTGACTCTGTTCCTCCTCTACTTAAACTGAAATATTACTGTTTTTTTTATTAAACTAGAATAATAGGTAAAGAGACAGGAATAAAATTGCATACACTGGTTTCAGAATCTTGGGCATTGTTTTCTCTGTTGTTTGTGGTAGAAAGCTAAAATTCAACAACTTCCTTCCTGACACGTAAGTGTGTTTCAGTGTTCGGGGGCTGAAGTGTCTGAGTTTTTCCAGAAGGTTGAGTGTTAATAGAGAAGTCCTTTTAATATTTATAAATACTGCTTACTAAGCTCCAGGTCAAAATTAATATGTCATTTTTCTGTCAATGTTCTATTCCCCTCCAAAGTGGAAATCTTTGTGCAGAAATGATTAACTTTTTTCTACAAATAAGACACTGTTCTTAGAATTTCCTCCATGAAATAAAAGATTAAGTTAGTATTTCCCCTTGTTCTTCTCTCATACCCCAGGGAACTTTCCTGAATTCTAAAATAAATACTCCAACTCGTATCTTGACTCTTAACAGCATCCCGCGAGTACTGTTATAAAGCTTTGCCTAAACTCCGAACTTCCTCAGTGAGCTGGAAATCTCCAAGAATTGTAAAGTGTAGGAAGAAATACATATTATCCAGAGGACAAGGGAAAGAATCCCATTCTCACTATTTTCCAAGTATTTTTTAAAAAGCAGGTTATTTAGACTGTAAAAGGCAGGAGTCATTGGGCTTCCTTAAGCTTTCCATATCATCCCTTCTACAGAGTTCCAGCCCATGATGCTTTATAACTATTGGTGCTGGAAAAGGGCTTCAGATATACCAGGAAAGCAGAAGAGTAGAACTTACCCTGTGCCTGTGGTGCTTGTTGGGGCTTTCTGTTGTCCAGGAGACCAGCAGCCCAGAAAGAGACCCAAGTCTCCGTGGAAACGTCAACACTAGATTCTGACGTGGTAGTGGAATACGGGCAATTATAGCTCTGGCCTCCTACAAAGTACTGGTCTTGGCAAGGCAGAACGGTGTTCTGTGAAACCCAGTATGAGGGGTGAAGGAGAGAGGCCCCAGGAGATGGGTGATAGGAATTTGGAAGGGGAAAAGGGTGGAAGAAAGATGCAGAAATTATATACAGTGAACCCAAAACAGATCAGTTAAGTATAGATCTCAGATTAATTTTGTGTGGTCAAAATATAATTACTAAAAGGGGATCGGCAGTTTGGTTTACCCAGTACTTCCCTTAGGCTCTCTCAGCAAAGAACAGGCTAGTATTGGATGGACCCAATTTGTAAATGTCCAGGAGTATTCTCTGTTGTCATGTCTGAATCACCTAACAGGCTACCCAGAATCTAAGTAAATGGAATTCACTTAATAATTCAAAGACATAAGAACTATTTGACTCTTTCTAGCAAATACCTTAGTTGTATTTCTAATAACTTTGAAAGACAACACACCCAGAATGCTAAGGCTATAATGGACAGAGCATGACATATAATGAAACCCCTTATTTCAGTTTCTTAGTTTCTGAATTATAAACTTGCCCTATTTTTCCCTTCCTCCTTCTTCCAATTTTAACTGCTGCTGGACCGTATGGTGATCTGAATGGTCTGAGATTGACATGCAGCTCTCTTACAGAGATAACTAAATAAAGTTGGATCCTAATGCCTAACTCTAACCACAGGAGCATCAAGTCACTCCCAGTAAACATAATGAAAACTGAAATAAGTTATCAGCAGACCCACAGCTGTAGGTTTCTCCATCACCAGGTCTCAATGCCCTGCCAAAGTCATCTTGCCACAACTAAGTGCCTGGCATGTGTTCCCCACTGTGTTCTGAACCAGTGAACACCCTCCTACCCCCGACTCCTCAAACATCAAACACAGTCTTTCCAAATGTCCAGGCAGGGGCAGGTATGCAGCCTTCCTGGGTTAATTTGTACAAAAGCCCATTCCTAATTATTTGTCAATGTTTAATCAGGTAAAGGCCATTCATTTCAGCAGAGCCCAGCTTTGGACAAACCCCTTTTGACCATTACAAGTCTTTTGTTGATTTGAGGACTTTATTCAGCATAGCATAAACAGAGAAAAAAACAAATCAGAAGAGAGAGAAAAAATTAAGTCAGTTCAGCCACACTTTGTTAATATTACCGGTAAGTTAGGTTTTGAAAAAGCCCAGTTTGAAGCAAGTCCAGCTTGGGCTGTGCAGACCAAAGAAATTCAGCCATAAGTTTATCAAGTGCTATTTTCTTTTATTCTAAAAGTATGTTTGTAGGCTCTTTCCCTGAGGTTATTATTGGAATCAGAGCTGAGCTATTATGCAATTGACACCTGAGAGGAAAACCCCAAATACCCCTAGACTAGCTCAAGTCCAAGTGTTTGCAAATGTGCATAATCTAGAGAAAGAGGTGGAATGAAAAGTGAGTGCAGGTGTAGAGGGAGAGAAAGTTGGAAGAAAGTATAGAGAGTAAACAGAGGGTAAAAGAATGAGAGAGAGATAGGGAATGCCAGGGAAAGAGAAAAAGAGAGAGAGCGAGAGGGAAAGAGGGAGAATGAAAGTATGAGAGAGACAGATGGAAAGACAGGAAAAGCCATAAGATAAGGGGGACAGGGCAGAAGAGAAGCCGTTTTGATTGGCAGGTAGCAAAGAAATCTTGCTTCCAAGGTGGAAGGAATTCTAAATGCAAAGCTTACTAGCTCTCAGAGACACAGGTTTTGCCAGCTTGTAGCTAACGCCAGCTCCTCACTTACCATCTTGCAGTGAAAGAAGGCGCTGCAGAAACTGAGCCACTCTTGATTTTTCGGAAAAGTCGATGGGAGCTTTACATGGGACTGGGGGGAGGAGCTAGGAGAGGCGAGTTCTAATCTGCGGGAGCTCCCAGTGACGCCCGGGGCTCCCGGCGAGAGCCACCCTCTGATTTAATTCGAGGCTGTTAATCTGGTGCCGTGGGTCAGGAGACATCCAGCCAAAGCCCAAGTCACGGGCACTCTGGGCGATCGCCGCGCGGGGACCTGAGACCTGCGGGTCGGGACGGGCGGTGGGTCGGGGGCAGGGCCCGCGGCGCCCCGCCTCCGGGTGCGCAGCGCTGCTTCAAAACCCGCGCGCGGGGCGTCCAGGGCCGGCGGGGCGAACGGGCTCCTGCCGGAGGAGGCTCGCGGCGGCCAGGCAGCTAGGGGCGGAGGGCCGGTGGAAGCCCGGACGCGCCCCTTAGGGAGCCGGGCAGCTCTGGGGGAGGCCCATCCGACAGGTCCCAGAGTTAACTGCACGGGGTACTTTCTAGCTACGTGGTAAATACCAACTGGCTGTGTGACTCTCCGAATTGATTGGCTGTTTTTATTTCTATTTGGTACGTTGCATTTCCCCCCAACCCTTCAAGTGGCTGTTAAATGAGAAGGTGTCTATATGCATTCTAGAAAGTAAACTTAGGGCTAAGAGCTGTCGCTGTCCGTTTTGTTCACTGCTGCCTCCAAAGTGCCTCGAACAATCTCTAACATGTAGGAGGTGCTCAATAAAGAATGAATTAAGGTACAAATTTAAGGACATAAAGTGTCTCTGTGTTGGTTCATATATTCACGACTAGTATTATATAGAATAAATTACTACAATTTTTAAAATGTGTGTTAATACTCAAAATGAGAGGTATTCTGCCGTCTTTTCTTGCGTGATTTTTATTCACGTGATTCCTATGATGCTATATCCCAAGGAGAAAATGGAGTAATATCATTTTAAAATGTAGAGAAGCCGTTTTGATGGGCAGGTAGCAGAGAAATCTTGCTTTCAAGGTGGGAAAAATTCTAAATGCAAAACTTACTAGCTCTCAGAGACACAGGTTTCGCCACTTGTAGCTAACGCCAGCTCCTCACCATCTTGCAGTGGAAGAAGGCGCTGCAGAAACGCTACCCTACTACTAATAGCCAACTCTTATTTCAACTGGCAATAACCTCTAAGGTAGGTACTCTTATTGTCCCTCTTTTAAGGAATGGCCAACAAGCCCTGAAGTTAAGAAAATCGACCACTGTTTACTTGACCAATTAGGAACTAGCAAACTAGCAAACCCCTGACTCCAGCATCCATGCTCCTAATTACCATAATTAAGCTTTTTTTTAAAAACTCTATTTGACTTCTTTTATAGTCATTTGCATAATGGGCACTTTTACGGACTGAACTGTGTTTGCCCGAAATTTGTATGTTGACCCAGAGTGACTGATTTTGGATATAGGATCTCTAAAGAGGTAATTAAGATTATTAGGTCATGAAGGGGGTGCCCAATCTAATAAATGTCCTTATAAGAAGAGGAAGAGACACCACAGATGACCTGCACAGAGAAAAGGTGACATGAGGACACAAGGAGAAGGGGGCCATTTCTAAGTCAATGAAGGAAGCCTCAGAGAAACTGATAACCCTGGCGGCCCCCTTGATCTAGAACTTCCAACCTCCAGAGAGAGAGAAAATAAACTTCTGTTTAAGCCATCCAGTCTCTGGCTCTTGTTGCCGAAGCCCCAGAAAATGAATATAGGCATGGTATAGGGATTGAAAAAGCTTCTGATTCCGTCTTACATAGTGCTTCCTCTAAACCAGTTTGTTAAAAATGAGTTCCTTTATTTATTCCTCTTTGTATTGTACTTACCATCCACAGCGTTTATGGTGACTAACACACAGCAGATGCTCATTAAGTGCTCTGTGTCCAGAATTTTAAAGAAGCAATGGGAGAGGAAGAGGAGCAAGATACTGTTCAGTGGCAAGCATTTTTAAGTGAATAGCACCAGATTTGGGGATCACTGCCTGGAAGATACTTCCTGGCTTACTTGACATGACTCATTTTAGTTAGCTGTGGGAGAGGGGGTCTGCTCTCTCTCCTCACTGCACAAGGGGCAAGGGTGCCCTGGCAATATAACCCTGAGATGATGGGGGAGACATATCAAAGCCCACTTTGATTGTAAGAATCAATAATCTTGTTCCCAGCAAGGAAAAGCCTAATTCGTTTTGCAGTAGGCACCAGGGGGAGGAAAAGGAGGATCGAGTTGTTTTGTTTTTGGAAACTGTCATAAATGAGACATGTGAGCCTCTGGAAGATAAATTTCTTGATTCTAAATATGACATAAAATTGGCAATTGAGAAAATATGGTACGAAAATAAAGGGCATAGGCTTTGGATCCAGATAGACCTGGGTTCAGATTCCAGCTCTACTCTGAAACTGAATAACCTGGGGCTATAGGGTCTCTGAATCCTCAGCACCTCTGGTAGATTAAGAAAGAAAGAAATACTTAAGAAACTTATTAAAAAGCTGACCAAGCTGACCACTAATGCTGAAAAATTCCTAATTTACTACTTAAATCATGAGTAGTAGCTACTACTATAGGTGAGGAAAACTCTACCTTTGAGCATATATGCTGCTGTGCCTTGCTTATTAAAAATAATTGCAAATGAAAGGTACATTATAAAACAGGCTTTTTTTGAGGACTAGAAATGTTTTTTTAAAGTTTTTGATGGCTTTTAAGCACATAAATGTTTCATAAATCATTAACTACTTTAGCATGGAAGGAGTGGGAGTGTATGTGGTGGTAGAGAAACACTAAAGTTGAACAGCGAAGAGCTATCGACAATTGAACATAAATCAAGATAAAGCTTTACTGAAACCATAACTAATAGAAAAATTTCCAAATTCTTAAGCTCTGACTTAAGCATATCTTTTTATTTAAAATCCGCTGCTTAGGTACAAGCCTTATTTTTGTTTGATGATTTTTTTTTTGAGAAATGAGTCAAGTAAACAATAAGAAATCCTTTCGCTAATTTTTGTTCATGTATTTTAAAGAAAAATATGCAAGTTATTTAGTGATTGCAACCACATTGATGTTTTGTCTTCTGTCAACAATAAGATCAGTTAAAAATTGCCTTTTGTATTGTGGTTGAAGGGATGGGGTTAAAAGGGAGGTGGCTAATAACAACCCAATTGTTCAGTCAGGGTACTGCCTCCTGCCAGGGCAAAGATATAATAAATAGAAGGTAATTTGACCTGCATACAAACCAAGGCTGTAGACAGAAAAGGGTAGAGTGTGATCGGAGGTGGGCCAAGGAGATAAATAGATTGGCATATGGAATGTTCTTTTATTTCACCCCTGGAGGACACTTTATATGAGTACCTCATTAGTGAATTCAGTAGCATATCTAATAAAAGGACAATTTAAATTTTCTCTTTACAAACATGGCCTTTTCTTATACCTTCAACAACTGAATCTCCAAGCAGTGAAAAGATAGGATTTCTGTTTTCACAGGTGAGTAAAGAAAAGCATAACCCTTAGAGAAAATTCAGTGCAGTAGATGATTTACACTGCAAGATTTAACATTTGAAAATTTTATTTTAGCATATCTGGAGAACTATGACACATTTAGTGTGTTCAGTCATAGTTTTGAATTTCATCACTCCAGACCCATGTGAGAAATCAATCATGTTGATATAGACCAAGGCTTGCTTACTACCTACTACTTAACATGTCTGCACAGCTGCTAGTAACCAACATATATGCAATACTTATGCCATGCTTAGAAAGTGTTTCTACATGAAAAACGGGGAAAGTCAACTGTTAATTGTGGCAACAAAAATTTTTTTTAAGTTTGAGAAAATTATATAAGGTTATTATGCACGAAAGAGAAAGTGGATAAATTAAGAAGTAAAATGTTCAATTAGGCCTGACTCAGATTAGTGCTATATAGAACTGAGGCAGTGAAGGGGGTTGGGAGTTGGAAATTTATGATACTATTTTATTGAATATTTCTGCCAGAATTTATTTCAATAGCTTTATAACCAGCCGTAGCCCTTTATTTATTGACTCATTGATTTCTTAATTTTTCAGTTGCATTTGATTGTATTAGTGAGAATCACATACTCTAATGATATTCAAAAATCTGAAGGTTTTCAAGTTTAAGAGTATATTTTTAAAATAACAATCTACTTCATATTTGAAGGATAGCTAGTAAATAGATGCAGATCTGTATTCGTTGTGTAAAGTCAGGCAGACCTGTATTCTACAGCATTGCTTTCTGGCTGTTCTCATAATTTGGCACTTAAATAATATTTGTAAGCAAGCTAGAATAAACAGTCAGTACTTATTGGGGCTTTGGACAGGTGTGGGAGTTCCATGTCTCTCAGGCCCTGTCACCACCGTGAGGACAAGGACATCAGTATCTACCAGGGCTCTAACTCACCATGCCTTGGCACACTGGTTAGGAAGCTCTGCTTCGTGATAACCTATTTGGTCCAAACGGAATAAAAGAGTCTCAATACTATTAAAAAACACACACACAAAGAGTGAAATTAACTTTGCATCACCACAAAGATTAGAGATGTGGATCCCAAGCAAAACAAAACAAATACAACTCAAATCCTCATTACCCCAACCACATTAGAAAATAATGAAAACAGTGAGTTATCATCATTACTATAGAGAAGAGATATGCTAGTCCAAATGTAATTTGAAATCAAATGAATTTCTGCTTCAGGGACACTAGTATTACCATAAACTAGGCGTCAGTGCTTTCTTTGCTCCTGAAATCCTTCTTAAGGATTTTTGATTCAGAGGTTAGTGGATTGATTGCTGACTAGGCATTAAAGACCTGGAAGGTGAACTGGCACTGCCCATGGCATCCAATTTCATCCTGGAGATAGTAGAAATAAGGACATCACTGCCTGGACCCTTCAAAAGCTTGCTTCAAAATGTAATTGCAAAACAAGACAACTGGGACCTGATTCCTTCTAGCCCTGAAATTATCAGAGAATCTGAAACAGCATGAGATCTTTCATGAAAAGACAATGAAATATATTTAGGTATGAAAGTTAAGCTACAATGAAGTTAAATTCCATGTTTTTATAATCCATAAAATGTTGCCTGAATTCTTATTAACCCAATTATTATGGTAAAATCACCACATTTACAATCAAATCAAAGAATTACTTGAAATTTGTAACACTGAAATTTTGGTGTTTCCAGTCACACTCTGTTTTCCACATTTCTTTTTCTCA